TATAAAGATTGAATCTTTGAAAGAAAATCGGAGTTTTGAGTTAAACTTATTTAAGTTCCCTTTGACGTCCCGAAGAGTGTTTTAATGAGTAAAAATTGAATCTTTGAATGAAAATACCTCAATCGAGGTTCCTATTATGTCACTAGACATTTTTAATGTACGAAGGTGTAATCTTTGAAAGAAAAAGAAAGTTTTGAGTTAAACTTATTCAAGTTACCTATGAAGTCGCGAAGAGTATTTTAGTGTCTAAAGATTGAATCTTTGAATGAAAATACCACCATAAATGTACCTATTATGTCACTAGACCCTTTTAATGTACAAAGACTGTATCTTTCAAAGAAAATGAGATTTTTGAGTAAAACTTATTCGAGTTCCCTTTGACGCCCCTAAGAGCATTTTAATGAGTAAAGATTGAATCTTTGAATGAAAATACCCCAATCAAGGTACCTATTATGTCACATGACCATTTTAATGTAAAAATATTAAATCTTTGAAAGAAAATTAGAGTTTTTGGGTATAACTTACTTGAGATACCTATGAATTGGCGAAGAGTTTTTTAATGACTAAAGATTGAATCATTGAATGAAAATAACTCGATAGAGGTACCTATTACATCACTTGAGCTTTTTAATGTATAAAGATTGAGTCTTTGTTAGAAAATGGGGTTTTTGAGTTAAACTTATTCGAGTTCCCTTTAACATCCCGAAGAGTATTTTAATGAGTAAAGATTCAATCTTTAAAAGAAAATACCTCAATCAAGGTACTTAGTATGTTACTAGACCTTTTTAATGTAAAAAAATTGAATCTTTAAAAGAAAATGAAAGTTTCGAGTTTAACTTATTCGAGTTACCTTTGAAATCGCGAAAAGTGTTTTTATGACTAAAGATTGAATCTTTGACTGAAAATACCTCAATAATGGTACCTATTATGTCCCTAGACCTTTTTAATGTTTAAAGATTGAATCTTTAAAAGAAAATGTGAGTTTTGAATTAAACTTATTCGAGTTCCCTTTGACGTCCTGAAAAGTGTTTTAATGTGTAAGGATTGAATCTTTGAATGAAAATACCTCAATCAAGGTACCTATTATGTCACTAGACCTTTTAAATGTAAAAGATTGAATCTTTAAAAGAAAATAAGAGTTTTGAATTAACCTTTTACGAGTTACTTATGAAGTCGCGAAGAGTATTTTAATGACAGTAGATTGAATCTTTGAATGAAAATACCACAATAAATGTATCAATTATGTCACTAGACAAAGATTGAATCTTTGAAAAAAAATAAGAGTTTTGAATTAAACTTATCCGAGTTACCTATGAAGTCGAGAATAGTATTTTAATGACTAAAGATTGAATCTTTTAATGAAAATATTTTAATAAAGGTATCTATTATATCACTAGACCTTTTTATTTTATAAAGATTGAATCTTTGAAAGAAAATGAGAGTTTTGATTTAAACTTATTCGAGTTACCAATGAAGTCGTGAATAATATTTTTACGACTAAAGATTGAATCTTTGAATGAAAATACCACGATAACGGTACCTTTTATGTCACAAGACCTTTTTAAGGTATAAAGATTGAATATTTTAATGAAAATGAGAGTTTTGAGTTAAACTTATTCGAGTTCCTTTTGACGTCCCGGAAAGTGTTTTAATGAGTAAAGATTGAATCTTTGAATAAAAATACCTCAATCAGGTACATATTATGCCACTAGACCTTTTTAATGTAAAAAGATTAAATCTTTGAAAGAAAATGAGAGTATTGTGTTTAACTTTTTTGAGTTACATGTGAAGTCGCGAAGAGTGTATTACCGACTAAAGATTGAATCTTTGAATAAAAATACCTCAATAAAGGTACCTATTTTTTCATTAGACATTTTTAATGTATAAAGATTGAATCTTTGAGAGAAAATGAGAGTTTTGAGTTAAACTTATTCGAGTTCTCATTGACATCTCGAAGAGGGTTTTAATGAGTAAAAATTGAATCTTTGAATGAAAAATGCCTCAATCAAGGTACTTATTATGTCACTAGACCTTTTTCATGCAAAAAGATTTAATCCTTGAAAGAAAATTAGAATTTTGAGTTTAACTTATTCGAGTTACCTTTAAAGTCGCTAAGAGTGTTTTAATGACTAAAGATTGAATCTTTAAATGAAAATACTTCAATAAAGATGCATATTATGTCACTAGACCTTTTTAATGTATAAAGATTAAACATTTGAAAGAAAATGAGAGTTTTGAATTAAACTTATTCGAGTTCCCTTTGACATCCCGAAGAATCTTTTAATGAGTAACAATTGAATCTTTGAGTGAAAATACCTCAACCAATGTACCTATTACGTAACTAGACTTTTTATTGTAAAGAGATTGAATCTTTGAAAGAAAATGAGAGCTTTGAGTTAAACTTATTTGAGTTACCTATGAAGTCTTGAAGAGTATTTTAATGACTAAAGATTGAATCATTGAATGACAATATCTCAATAAAGGTACCTATTATGTCACTAGACCTTTTTAATGTATAAATATTGAATCTTTAAAAGAAAATGAGAGTTTTGAGTTATACTTATTCGAGTTACCTATTAAGCTGCGAATAGTGTTTTAATGAGCAAAGATTGAATCTTTGAATGAAAATAGCTCAATAATGGTACCTATTATGTCACTAGACCTTTTTAATGTGCAAAGATTAAATATTTGAAAGAAAATGAGAGTTTTGAGTTAAACTTATTCGAGTTCCATTTGACGCCCCGAAGTGTGTTTTAATGAGTAAAGATTGAATCTTTGAATGAAAATACCTCAATCAAGGTACCTATTATGTCACTTGACCATTTTAATGTAGAAAAATAGAATCTTTGAAAGAAAATGAGAGTTTTGAGTTTAATTTGTTCGAGATACCTATGAAGTCGCGAAGAGTGTTTTAACGAGTAAAGATTGAATCTCTGAATGAAAATACTTCAGTAAAGATATCTATTATGTCACTAGACCTTTTTAATGTATAAAGATTGAATCTTTGAAAAAAAAATGAGTGTTTTGAGTTAAACTTATTCGAGTTCCATTTGACGTCTCGAAGAGTATTTTAATGAGTAACGTTTGAGTTTTTGAGTGAAAATACTGTTGCCCAATAATTGACTCTCGTGTGGGGGGGGGGGGGGGGGGGGGGGGTGAATAGAGTCAATCGCCAATTTTCGTAATTTATAGAAATACAATTTTTAATCAACAATTTAGTTAATTATGCAATAACCAAGATATGAAATCAAGATTTCAAAGTAAACAATTTATAACACAACTGTAAGAGAGATAAGGGAAGAGAAATTGCAAATATTGACTCGGCGATTTTAGCAAGGTTCAGAAACTCTTACTCCTTGGTTCAAGACTCTTCTTGAGACTTCCCAATCCACTATGGCTCTTCCTTACGGGTGGAGAGAAAACATTTACATGAAGCAAAACTTTTTTTATTTTCCTTGCTATGAGAACAACATTCTCTTAGTCATCCTTTGGGTCACACCAACCCAGTGGGTCAAACTAACCCTTACAATAGATAGAAACAAGAACAATGAAGTACAAGAAATATCTCTCAAAGATTGATGTATAAACTTTAGCTCTCAACTTGAGTATATATGAATATAAGTGAAGCTCAAACTCTATAAATGATATAAATGAGAGAAGATGATATAAGTGAGCAACAAAAGCTCTAATGAACTTAATAAGATCTCTCAAGTGTAAAATAGAGCAAAAGCTCTATGAAGACTCGAATTAGAGCAAAAGCCCTTTGAATCCTTAGTTAAATCTCTCAAGATTTGTATATGAGTGAATGAGAGAGATGAAGAGAAGATTTGAGAACAAAAGCTCTCTTTAATAAGTAAAGATTGAATCTTTGAATGAAAATACGTCAGTAAAGATATCTATTATGTCACTAGACCTTTTTAAAGGTGTTTTATACACTTTATAAACTATTATTGTTTTGAATCTTTGGATCTTAACGGTTAGATTTTATTGAGAACATAGTTTTATCTCGATTTGAATAGTATAATGATGGTAGGTGATTGAACACCCATTTGTTTGATTTTTTTATTTTTTTATTTTTTTTTTCCAATAAAGATTGAATACCCATTTGGTGGTATGTAAAGAATTATATATATATATATATATATATATATATATATATATATTTGTGAAAATTTATTGCAAATTCTAAAGTTTAAAAAATTAATATATGTATATTGTTTATATATAATGAATAAGTATCTTTAATTTAATTTTTTAATTATATATTTAATTAAAACCAATAACTATATTAAAATTTAATTAGAAATAAATTTTTTCTTTTTTATAATTATAAAAGGAACTGAAGTTTTCATTCATATGATATAGTGTACATTAATCTCACAATTGTGACAACATTTCTTTTTTTAAAAGAGAGATAATACACTATTAACCAAAATATATAGAGAAGTTTGACCATTAATTCAAAAACATCCGAATTTAAATAATGCTTATGATTTGTATGTGATTGTGTTAGATTACTTGTGTATTGATTGTAATATCCGTTTACTTAACCATTAGGGTTTCATTAGGGTTTTGTTTGTGACATTTCTTCCTACCCAGTTATCATGCGTGACTAACTTGTAGACCATTCACTTTCATCACCTACCCCATTCTTCTCATATATACAAGACTACATTGTAATTCATTCCATACATATATATACAGTTTTTATATATTTTTCATATATTCCAACATAGGCCACGGCTAGCTAATACATATATACAACACTCATATATTCCAACAAGTTGCACATTAATTACACATTGATTTTCCCTTTGCATGGCACATTAATTTGTCACTACGTGCTCACATGCACACACTCCATATAAATTACACATACTTCATAAATGGTTTCAATGTAGAAAGAAAAAAATAAAAAATAAAAAGGGCGCTCAAGTTCATTAGCTAGCACTAACAGTGAGATCCTAAGAAGAAGAAACAACAAAAAAAGTTGATAATTAATGACGTCCGACTCGAATAGAAAAGTAGAGCTAATGCTCCTCCCTGGACTTGGGATGGGTGACCTCGTGCCAATCGTCCAGTTCGTACAGCGGATCGTTGATTATGACTGTAGATTCTCCGCCACCATACTCAGCATTCAAGTCCCTAGCGACTCACTTGTCACCGCCTATGCTCAATCACGCGCCACCTCCTCCGCGGGGTTACGTTTTATAGACCTCCCCATGGTGGAACCACCTTCACCTGACCTTATCCAAACACCAATAGGCTTTATGTCACTGTTCATACAGAAACTCAAACCCCACGTAAAGCATGCAATCACCAACCTCATGTCGACTCAGTCCAAGTCCGAATTGGTCATACTCATCATTGACACGTACTGCATGACGATGATCGGCGTGGCTAACGAGCTCGGCATCCCTTGCTACCTCTTCTTCCCATCACCAACCGCTTTACTCAGTTTGATGCTCCACCTCCCGACCCTTGACCAACAAATCACCACCGAGTTTCACGAGTCCAGCACTCAGTTAGAGGTGCTGACTTTTGCCAACTCAGTTCACCCACTCGTCTTACACTCTATTCTATTGAGCAGAACTCAAGATGGGTACTCTTAGTACCTCTATCATGGTCAGAGGTACAAGGAGACAAAGGGTATTATTTTAAAGGGAAAATTACATATAAATGGAGTTAAAGTTTCATATTTACTTAGAGACTGAGTCAAAATTCCATATTTCTCTAAAATGGATTGCTGAGGTGGCACATGGTTTGTTACTGTTTAGAAAATTGTGGTGCCTAAAATGCCCTTCCCTAACAAAAAAGTAGTACCTTCAGTTCAAAAAAGTAGTACCTTCGAAGAAAAAGTAGTACCTTCGCGGGTGTTTAAAAAACATGGTACCTAGACACCAAAAAGTAGTACCTTCAGTTCAAAAAAGTAGTACCTTCGAAGAAAAAGTAGTACCTTCGCGGAAGGGTATTTTAGGCACCACAATTTCTAAACAGTAAAAAACCATGTGCCACCTCAGCAATCCATTTTAGAGAAATATGGAACTTTGACTCAGCCTCTAAGTAAATATGGAACTTTGACTCCATTTATATGTAATTTTTCCTATTTTAAATATGTTTCAAGAACTCGAGCCGTTTGCTCTTAACTCGTTTTTGGGTACCCACGACATACCACCGGTTTACCCGGTCGGACCGTTGGTTGACACCTGTGGGTTGAACCGACCGGATTCAAACCAATCCCACCAAGACAAGGTTTTGAAGTGGCTTGATCATCACCCCCAATCATCTGTGGTTTTCTTCTGTTTTGGAAGCTTGGCCAGTATAAGTGGGGCCCAAGTGAGAGAGATAGCAACCGGTCTTGAGCGAACCGGGCAATGGTTTTTGTTGTCACTGCGCCGACCGGAGGCTTTTGAGTCACGCGACTACACTGATCCAGACGAGGTGTTGTCGAATGGGTTTTCGGAAAGAACTTCTGAGACGGGTTTGATTTGCGGGTGGGTCCCACATGCGACAATCCTGGCCTACAAGGCAATCGGAGGGCTGGTGTCTTACTGTGGGTGGAACTCGTTTATGGAGAGCTTGTGGTACGGGGTACCTGTTGCCACGTAGCCGGTTTTTGGAGACAAAAGATGATAGCATTTGAGCTAGTGAGGGAGCTGGGATTGGCGGTGGAGATAAGATCACCGGGTTACATGGACGGCGGTGATTTGGTTTTGGCGGAGGAGGTGGAAAGGGAAGTGAAAGCTTTAATGGACGGTGATGGTAAGTTGAGGAAAAAGGTTGAGGAAATGAATGAGAAAAGTGGGAAGGTTGTGATGGAAAATGGTTCATCATTTGTTTGCATGGGAGAATTAGTAGAGGAGCTTATGAAGGCAAACATTTGATGAACTCCTTAATTTTTATTTTTTTTCTACGTGCCATGATTCAATTTTTTTTTTTTTCAAGAATAAAACAAAATACGTTAAAGAGAGAAACATTACAATCATCATTCAGAAAAATAAGAAGTTATCGGGATAGACATCCCAATCAACTTCCCACTCTGATTTTGAAACGAAAATCTACCCAAAGGTGAGTAACCTTGTTTTGGTTACTTGGTTTGTATTTTGACTTTATTGTAATGTTGCTGAATTTAGCAGTTGAAGTGAATATTCACTATTTTTCCTTATATCAAGTCTGTTGTTATATGTAATATATGTGTGACCCACCTCCACCATTACTTATCATCCAACACTACTAACTACCATTATTATTACCACTCATTCCGTCTGTTATATATAATGTGTGTGTGACCCACCTCCACCATTACTTATCATCCACTACTACTACCATTATTATTACCACCCATTCCGTCTACTTTGTGCAACCATTGTCGGTACATTGCATTATGCATGCATTATGAATGACATCAATTGAACAAGTTGGCAAGTAGAGGCAAATCTACTTTCGCCTATAAATAATGCTTAGGATGTATTGTTTTGATGCCCCCAATGAATTGAAATAATATATGTACTTTATTCTCTTGTATAATTTTATAAAACGATATCAGCACTAGATAATCAACTGAGATTTGAGCTATAAGCTCTCTTTTCCTTTCTCTATTTTAACTCTATATATCTCTTTATAGTGATATTAATTTTGATAAAATATTGAGTTTGTTTTCTTTACTGAAGAAAAAATATATATATTTTTCCTTATCTTAAAAAATAGCCATGCCACGTGAGAAGATCGAAAGTATAGTAAGTATGCATGAATTTAATTCTTTGGTGATATTTCTATTAAATATAAAATATTACTTTTCTTTCACTACATATATATGGAGTAATAATTATTTTATACGTTAATGTGCATATTAAATATGGTCGGTTTTACTGCCATTACTATTTCATTAATGCATTTAATAGGATCCATTTTACAACAATTATTATTTAATGATTCATTCACGTTGATTGGTTTTACCCCCATTGTTACATATTGATTCATAATTGTGAGTTCATTAATCTTTAATTTGTACAATATAAGAAGATGTTGGATTTCTGAGCCATGAGAGTCTTTTCATTATAATATAATAATATTACATCTTTAGTTGTTGTATCTCTAGCTTTTGTTATATGTATGATTATGGTAGCAGGAATCGAACTCAATTCATTTGAGATATATACAAATACATGTGCACCACTTTTTACAATGACTAAGACTTTTTACTTCTTTAAAAGTTTGTACCATGTTTTTTTTTTATTTTTAAAGTTAAAAGGTAAGCTTGTATTAAAAGAAGGAAAGAATTTATAGGGATGTCCAAATAGGACAAACACAGACTACCAAAGCAGAAACAAAGCAAAAGCAGATCAACATCTACAAGCTGAAAGAAAACTACAGGCAGATCAACAACTTTCAAATTACATGCACAAATTTTTTCTAGTTACAACCATAATGAACACCAACTCTCAATGAAAAGCTAGAAAGTGAGCATTTGCAAAACAGCATCCATCATTGAAGAGCTTTTATTGGTCCTCAAGTTTATTCATTCTCATCAAATCAGTTGAACTTTTACGTATGATTGAAGCAAGTCTTCCTCTAGCACAGTTCTTGATCTGATTAATGTGATGACCCTGGATTTTTTAATCCAATGTCTCCTGAAATGACCTGAAACGGATCCAAGATGCGGAAGCAAAAGAAGCAAAATGACTTCAAGAGATGTATGTCATCTCTAAGGCATCAAGATGACTTCCCATGAAACCACGGAACTCAAATGAGTCAAGCAAATGAAGCAAGAATGCCAACCCGAAAAGAAATGAACCAAGGGCAAAATAGTCATTCCAAACTGAAATGAGTGCCACCGTGCACGCCATTGGAAAGACAATGAAAACTAATAAAGTTAGACTCAAAAATCACCTGATTTAGAGTCCAGACGGAAAAGATATGAATTATGAACAATGAGGCATTCTCCATTTAAGAGTTACCACGAACCGATCTCACTAGAACTGGAATAACTCTCACAACTATTGGAGTTATGGTGTGTGGTTGGTACCAATGGAAAGCTAACTTAGAGCTCTTGAGTTTAGAGTCAAGAATGACCCAATTTAGATTAGAAACAAATGAGATATGATCCCTCAAAGTTGGAACGACAAAGTTGTCCAAAGAAAGCTGAAGGGCAAGGGTTCGAGGGAGGTTCGGTCGACCGAAACCCAATCGTCGATCGGCCGAAACGACCATTTCCTTAAAAAGGCTACTAAAATTGGGTCTCGAGGATCGTCGGTCGACCGATGGTGCTTCATCAGCCGACCGACACATCTGCTGCAGCTATGAAAAGTTGCTGCAATGTGTGGAAATGGTGTTCGGTCTGTCTCTAAGGTTCTACATGCCTTTTACATGATCCGAACAAGTTTGAAATCATCCCTTAGCATCGTTGAAGCATTCAAATCATGCCAAAACAAGGAGGAACCCAAAATGATACCCTAATGCATGAATTTTTATAAAAATGCATAAAATCCCCCAAAAATAGGTCAAAAGTTGAAACTTACGAGTTTTGTGAGATGTAAACATGCACGCATACGTAAAAAAACATTTAAGACGCGTCACAATAGTCCACAGCGTCAAAATAACCCAAATGCAAAATATAACCTCTCAACGGCCAAAAATGCCTAAAAATACAATAAATGAAACCATAATGTGAAACCTCGAACAAAATGGTGTTTGGCCCTTGGCCACACCTTATGCATGATCATAAAGACCCTATGAAAGAAAAAGAATTGATTTCCCACACCCGATGCAAAAGTTATGAAGCAATGACTTGTGATTTTTCAATGTTTACATAGGGCCCGTTTACTAATGCTTACACTTCCTTACTTTTACTTTCTTTAAAAGTAAAATCATAATTTTACTCTTTTGAGATGGAATAGGAAGTAAAATGATGTTTAATAAGAAAATTTTATTTTTACTATTTTGAAAGGAAAAAATAGAAAGTAAATTTAATAATTTTAATTTTAATTTTGCTTTCCTATTATATTTCTCTCTACAAAAAACAGCGGCTGAAATCTCGCGAAGAAGACGACAAAGACGACGCTCGCGAAGAAGATGACGTTGAACCAGCATGACGAGATGGATTGAAACAGTGATGACTTCCGATATTATGCTCGGCGACGGCGAGCACCACACATCCGACCATCACCATATTCAATCCCACCTCCAAAAATTAACTTCGGCGAACCCATTTCACCCACAACCTTCGCATCTTCACCTATCTTCAAAATCAAGGTAATTGCTTTTCTCCTTTGCTTTTTGAAATTAAGGTAATTGCTTTTCTCATATGGCCTTTGATCGGATGGTACAAAAACGATCGCATCGCAAGAATTTCATGTGTCGTCTCCAATTTTGAAACCCTAGTCAATTTCTGGCCTTTACAAGCGGCCTCTTGCTTCTAATCGAGATAATTTCTCAGGCATCGAGACCCACATATTCGTCAATACTCTCTACACATATAGATTGCTTGAATCCAGAAACGATATGCTCATGAAAAACCCAAGCCCAATGAACAGCCACAACTTCCGCCATGAAAACGCAGACGTTTCGACATCGTAATCGTTCATCGTCTATTTCTTCGCCAACTCCGATGAGGTTTGACTTTCTCGGTGGATTCGTATGTTTTTCTTGTCTGAGAGAATGAGTCAATTGAAGGGTGTGATTCAGATGGATCAAGGGAAGATCAGGTCTATTGTGGACTGGGAAGGGCCAAAGAAGGACAGAACAGCTGCAACAGTTACCACAAAGCAGAACCAAAGTCTTTGTAGAGCAATCTCTGTTCCACTTTGGGTGGTGATGGCTTCATTATGGGTCTGTTGATTTGAGAGAGAGTGCTATAGTAAAAGGAAGTAATTCCTTGCTACAGTACAGAAAATAAGAATTTTTCACCTTTTCTTCTCTTCACAAAATTAGAAAGTACTTTCTTAAAGTTAAAAAGTAAAAATATTTTACTAAACATGATTTTCACTTTTGATTCCTAATTTAGGAATTGACAGTAGAAATAAGGAATTAATTCCTGTAACTAAACAGGCCCATAGTGAATCTTGAAAACGAAAGTGCATAGAATACAAGTTACATGTCATTGGCCTATGGCCTTAACTCATACATGTTAAATACATTAAAAAGAGTGTACTTAGGTATACTTTACATACATGGAATCAAAGAATACGAGATTTGATACATAAGGCTACAAAATGATATTTCATGCTAACATTTGCATGAAATAGAAACTTGAAAGCTATAAATCGTCCAAGAAGCAATAAGCATCACGAACCAAGTCTTCATACCTGAAACAAATCCTCCAATAACTTCGGGGTGAGTAAACAAGTTTACTCGTAGAGAATGAGCATGCATCGACTCGATTTCTTTAGAGATTTTTCGACTAACATGGAACAGTTCAAAAGGGATCATGCTACCCAACGTCTATGTCAAGATGAGACTCAAAGAGCATCCTAAGCTATCTTAGAGCATAAGCAACAAGAATCATGATACATATACATATATGAAATGAATCAAGGTTGGGATAATCCAAGGAATACAACAAGTTTATAGTTAACATGAATCACATTGTCAATGTAATTAAATAAGGTTTGGAATAATCTATATAACATGACAAGAACATACTAGAATACAAGATCACATTGTCAATGCAATTTACATGATTGGAACATTCAAATTAACACGATAAGAAGAATACTTGGATATAAGTTGACAAGAATTACATTATCAATGCAATTAACATGATTGGACCATTCCAATTAACACGATAGAAACAATACATGAAATCAAGTACAAAGCATAATATCTACGCAATTAACAAGATTGAAGCATTTCACATAATACGACAAGTTTTAAATCTTCAAGGAAT